CTGCTTTTAAACTGCTGAAGTGAAGTCTAAAATGCTAAAAGCGTTGGAACATCACACTCAGTCCTACTTTCTCCCCTGTTACTTGTTGCACCAGTACTGATGAGAACTTCAGGGTGGTTTTTTCCTTTGGGAAGATTTTTGTCTCCTCCTATGTGGAGGTTAATTTAAAGTAAAATAATGTTTTTTTCCTTAATGAACACTCAGTCCAATTGGATCAGGTATTCACCAGTTTAACAAGCAGTTTTGCATCGAAACAACAAGGCAAGTTTTCTGAAATTCTTGATCAGAAAACCAGTAGTGCAGCATAAAAGCAGTACTGTTACATCTTCCTGGAAAACTATTGCAGAATTTTTAAGGCTGTATTTTATATTTTGGTTTTATAAAATGGAGTAAAAACTTTTATAGCCCTTTTATAGTTTATTTAACTTGTATTTGTTGTGCAAAATCCTCTTGTTTTTAAAATAATCAATGATAAACTTTGGGTTACGTAAACTTCATTTTGGAAGCAAAATAAGTGGATATTGACAGCAGATGGCAGCCTTGGGTAAGTTATTAGCGGCCTTTGTTCTGAAAAAGATGAGATTTGCTCTTTAGTTACATTAAGAATAAGGTTGTGTCAAATTTGAAACACTGGGAATGCAGATAAAGCTTGAAATGCTGTTTGTCCTCTCTTTCAGAAAACTGGGATTTACTTTTATAGAGGAGAACTATGCATTAATGTGCTTCTTTCTTTCTGGAGGTGTTAAATGAAATATAAAAGTGAATACTAAATGGCTCAGAAAGTTTATTTGATTCGTACTTTCTTTTTTTAAGGGTAGGTGGTGTCACAGGTCGAATTCAGTTTAAAATTTTCCAGATAGAAAGGTGTTTAGTTTACATCTTGGAAAATGTAGACTTATACCATAGTAAGATTGTTTAATTGCATTTTTATGCCTTTATAAACAAAGCAGGTCATTGTCCTGTAGGAATAATGGGCTGTTTCTGCACAGTTTCGGATAGAAAGGAAGGTTTGCTTATGTCTGTATGAACATTCGTTGTTTTAAGAAGTTTTTCTTGCTAACTTAGAGCTTATAGAACATATGAGACATGAAACAGATCCTGATACAGTGCTCATTCTTCAAACGTATCATGAGTATTTTAAATGAACTCTTCCTCTGACTTGTCGGCCTATGAACAGGTCACATAGTATCTGTAGTTTCCTGAGAATATTTGTCCTTTTCTGGTGAATAATTGTAGCTGTTTGGATGAAACAAATACTCAAAACCCTGAGCTGAGAGGTCGAAACACTTGATCATAAAATCTGCTGGTGTGATTGTAGGATGTGTGAGGAGTGCCAGAGTGGTATTAGCTCCTTTCCTGAGTCGCTGAGATGCTTTTGACATTTCAGCTCTCGGGCAGTCTGCATGGAGAAATTAGGCTGGGACTTTGCTGGGTAAGCCATGAAGAGCAAACTGCTAACTTGCCTGGGGAGTGCACCTAAAAACTCTGTAAATTCTGCATGGTATGCACGTTAAAAAGAATAGTTTACAGCCTTACTGATATTTAAAACTTTTCCCCAATATTATAAAATAATTTGCCCATTTCTGTGATGTATCTCTTGGTAAAGCGAGATGCAGGCAGAGACTTGAGGGCTGCAATTCTTTGCAGGTGAAGTGACTTTGAACACATCAGTGAGCTTTTAAAATATCAGTGCTCTCATCATTTCTAATTTGCAGAAGGATCCTACTGTTCTAATTGTCCGTGGGAAGGTTTGAAGGGTAAAGGGCAAGAAAGGTGTCAGTTTTGGCTAATAAGTTATTTTCTGGCCTTCAAGAGGGTAAAGTGGGATAAGCTGCAGTTGAGTCTGGATTTGGATTCTTCTTTACTTTTAATAAATATTGGCAAATGTATATCTTTCCTAATGCCTGAAATGAAAGCACCTCACTGTTCAGGGTGCTTTCCCATTTGAAAAGGGAAGCCTTTCAAGAGTTGCCAGCGTGTCTTTTGCAAATACGTGGATTTCAAGAGAAAGCTAACGGCGTGAAAGGCTTCTGCAGCCTTTTGTCATAATCGTTACAGTTCTGGTTCTGTGCAAGATAAACGGCTGTATTTCCCTACGTTGGAGTAAGTTTATCTGCTCTTCCTCTCTTCTTGAAACATCTAATATTATGGCTCTTTTTTGACCTCCAACTCATCTACCAGTGCCCTAAGAAGTAATTAAAATGGAGACTTAAAGTTGCTTTGCATTCCATTAGCTGCCTGCTGGTGCAATTTTGAGTGCAACTTTCCCTTCGTAGGGAACTGAGACAAATATTCCTTGAGAACTGATTGTTTTGTCATCCTCTTGTGTCCAGCAGCGTGGCGGATTCCTACAGCTCTTGAACAGCTCCTGGCGTGAGCTGCGGGGTTCACTTACCTGTGTGCACCACATGGAACAGCCAACAGTGATGTACAAGGTTTAGGCAGACCTGAGTGTGCTAGGAAAATATTTCTTGCACTCTGGAATTTTTACTAGTTTCAATTTCTGGATTTACAGTTAGTATCTATTACAATCATACTGTCTATGGAAATTGCTACTTTTAAGTAGATTATTAGTTTGGTAACCATCCTTTCAGTGCATTTAGTGGGTAGCATGGGGTCCAGCCCTCTTTTGTTTGTTTTTAAATTTAAGAAAATTCTGTATTAATATTTCTAGTACTGGCATTCTCCAGTCTTGACTTTGTTTTACATTAGTGTCCTAAGTATAGAATTAATCTAGTCCATTTGTTGAGGAATTTGGACCACTTGATTTTTTTATTTGTGCATGTCTTTGGATTTCTATTGCTTTAACATTAACTTCTTGTAGTGCTACATTTTTTTTCGTGCTGGCCCATTTGTTTTCTAGGTTTGAATTGTAAGTAAATAACATTTCACAAATGGGATCTTATAAATGTTTGCTCTGTCTATTTATCTATTTATATCTGTTAACTAAAGATAGTGGTAAATTGTTTGCTTTACCTAACTGATTTACTTTTATCAATGTGAATACAATTTTAAGCAAATTGTGGCCTCTTACTTCTTTTTAATGTGATGTTAGTAGCGTTGGCAGTGGTGGTGCTGGCATTAGTAGTAACAGCGTTGACATTTCTAGACACTGCGTAAGGATTCTAGGTGACAAAAAATAAATGCTTTTGTGTGTGTGTGTGTCTTCTACAGGAATCTATTATGTAGCCACCTGGGTTTTTAATGGTGGTAGAACAATTCTGCGTGAATTTGGCTGCGAGGTTTTGTGCTTGTGTCTTTTTTTCTTTCAGTATTCCAAGTGGATCCTGTAGCTATTTGGATGCAGCGCACCATCACGCTATACATTAAACAGGAGTTTTTCTTTCTTTCCAAGAGGGGGATTTGGCAAAATGATTTAAGGATGGATGTAGCAGGAAGTCTTTTCGTTTTAGTTTTTTAGGCATATCCTTCTTGACTCTGGTGTTTCCATATTGAAGTGCTGCACTAAAACAAGAGGAAGAATCGTTGCAACTTAACTTGGCATCGGGTGGTGTTGGTAGTTGTAAATGCGAAAGACCATGTTACGTACAGACCACAGTCTGCACTTAATAGTGATTTTGACCATTTCTTTTCAGTGCCCACGCAGGAGCTGTTTGTTGCAAAACGTGGTGTTTAATTCC